AGGTTTGGGACACCTATTGTATTTTTTTTAAAAATCCGCTATAGTTTGTCCGGCCTTTTATAGCTGTATATGCAAAGCAGCTCATGAAGTAGCTTAGATGTAATTTCGCCAAGGACTTTGATTACCGACGCTGAATTTACGTAATATATCATAGATATGAAGACCAAGATGGTGCGGCCTTCTGTTTGGTCGCAGTCTTTTAGTTTTATAGTGTTGGTTTGACCTTGTTTCCGCAACATGGTCGGAGCGCCAATGAAACCTTGTGGAACGTACCTAGTCTCGTGTCCTCTGTCATAGTATTCGTGATTTCCAGCATTGAACCATTGACTGGGTACATTCCTAGACGTTTCGCTGGCATCGTTAGTGAGAGGCGCCATCGTAAGCGCAGAGTTACAACTTAACAAAGTGACAAGTGAAGGGAATCCTCTCGACCAATTTTCTGTTCAATCTTTCATATTGTCCGTCCACTTATTCACACAAGTTTGCCCTCGTTTTTTTCAATGTCGCCTAAGAATGTGTCTACAAGTGGGCCTAGTGAAGCGTCATCATCTCCACCACCGGTATCAGATGCCGTTTTCAGGGTTTCTGACTCACATTCTGCCCCCCTCCCCTTTGTTTCCCTACCCACTTGCCGATTAGCTGCTGCTAAACAGCAAAATCAATGTTTAGCTGTCTGAAATCAGGCTGTCTAAACCCTTTAATTCCCGTCCTCGATTACGCTATATTCGAGGTTTTAAGCAGATGATGTCAATGTCCATGACAGTGCTTCAAACCCATGACTCGGTTATCCTCTTTTTCATCCCCTTCAACATTGTGTCTCATTTTTTGGGGCCCTATGTCCGACTCAAGATATAACCGCTTGTGTGAAAATGCATTGCTTCCATTTTTCTCCTGAATCGCGATAAGCATACTTCTCTCGTTATTCAAGTTGACACTTCCATCTACTCCTAGGGCACTACGGTGTTCATGCGTTTGCTGGCTATAAAAAAGAATTTTATTTAATAAAAATGTTGTCTTCAATTATCGGAGAAAATCTATTATTTGAAGTCGTGTTCGTTACATGTGTGATGAAGTTATTTTCTGTCTTTCTTGCCAGAAACTAAAGGATGCAGAACTTATTGGCATGTCTTTGAGTACCTCCTCACTGAGATAGTTGCAGTCCTTGGGACATCTTTTGCACTGAATGTGCGTCTATCATTGAGCAGATTATTTGAAATTAGGATATTTTTGAACACAAAACGGCAATTAATTTTACTAAGTTGTGTGTAAACTGTTTTTGCTCTTTAGATGCATTTCTAGCGACGTACGAAAGGCCAGAATGGTTTTGTCAGGAGTTAAGGATTAGATTCTCATGATTCCGACGATTTATCAAAGCCCAAACAATTGCTCATTAGCGTTGGCTTGACCTCGTTTACGCTACTTGATCGGAACGGCAGCGAGACCTTGTTAAACCTACCTAGTTCTGCGTCCTTTGCCATAGTATTCCTGACTTCCAGCATAGTATCACTGACTTGGCATTTTCCCATAAATTTCGCTGGCATTCTAGCCGGCTCATCGGAACGAAAGTTATCTTTATTTAATATATGAAGACCAAGATGTTGTGGCTTCTTTTATGGTCGCAGTCTCCTTTTGATTTATAGAAGTGGGTCGACCTCGTTGTCGCAACTTGGTCTTGTTGACAGGGAGACTATGTAGAACGCGCCTAGTTCGAAGTCGTCTGCCATATTAGTTGTCATGATTCCCAGCATCTGACAGTGGACTTGATACATTCTCAAACGTTTCGCGGGCATCGTAGTCGGCATCATCAGTGAGCTTCGCCATTCTACGCACCAAGCTACGAACTCGTCAAAGAGACAAGTCTTTATTTAACTTTGAAAAAGCCAATCAAGTATTTTATTTCATATTCAAATTAAGATAACCCCCAAATAAGCAAACTTTACTTATCACTAATTTTAAGCTCACTAAGTTCTATGCTCTACTCTCTTTAATTTTGCTTATTTTATCCCCCACGCGCATCTCTAGATCTTCCACCTTCAACTAATTATCTTCGTGAAGGTGAACCCTCCTTTCCTCACTACATACCCTACCTCATTGTGGGCTCGGGTACGGCTGGCATGGCTGCAGCTCGCGCCATCCGTGCATCAGATCCTGCCTCCAAAGTGCTTATGATAGGCGGTGGAATGGATCCTAAAATAGTTGGTGGAGTATTTAAAGCCTCACCTGAGTCCCTCACAAAACCATCGGGTACCGAATCACTTGGTATGATTGAACTTTTGTAGGTTGTTTAAGTTACATATTTGTTTACTGTTGTGATCGCTTTTAGAATTATCAATGCTCTTTCCCTAAGAAAATAAGAACTTAGTTATTCGAGTTCGCTTAAGGGGATTTAAGGACTGATAGTGGAATTTCTCTTCACTTATATAAGTAGACCTAGCATTTCTATTTAATTTCGCTTAGCCTTGTCTTTCGGACACTTTTCTTATCCAAGATGGATTTCAGATTATTATTGGAGTCTTCATTTCATTACGTAATATTTTTTTAGATAAATCCCAACAGCAGTTTCCTATTAATATGTAATCTCAGGTTTGGAGCAAAGGCTTCGGAGTTAACTTGTTTTTTGTTTATTTGAGGTTAAGTGGAGTTTCTCCACTAAACCTTACTTCTTTCGAGAGTGAAGGCACGTTATCAAATCACGTGATTAGGGTGTTTAGGTATGTATTTATGTCACTCCTACATTTTCTCTACCGAAGGACCGAAATAGCAGATATTTGCGAGTTAATTATATCCCGTTGCAAATAGATGCCTTATCTCTGGCTAGCCCTAGTGCAAGCTGGAGAAGGGCAGGTTACTTTTTAGAGAAGATATTCGTTAGACCATAATCTCGCAATCGGAGTCGGAATACGGCTAGCTTATTCAAAAATTCACTATGGAAAGAGATTACGTAGCACAAATTTAGTTATGAATTGACTGATTGGTCACATAAAAATTTGGCTGATACTTAATTGTTTAGAACCAAAGTTAAAAGTTGGTCATTAGTCGAATTTTACGTAAGTCTATCGGCCCATATAAGAAAATAGTCTCTTCACTCTGACTTACCTTGTATGTTTGCCACCGGGGATATTCTATGGTGCTATCTCTTTTCCTTTACTTTCTAGCTGTCTTATTCATTGGCATACTCTACAATAGACTATAAAAGAAATGAATACCTGGCGCAGACATAATGTTTTCTTTTGAAACTAGTGATGCCAAATATAAACAGCAGACTAAGAGTGTTGTAGCTGGATACCAGCTTTATCTTGTTTGAAAAGCTGAGTTGAATCGATTTGTCTTTTCGGAAACCAAAGGAAGGTTGTCTTGGAGTTTGGATAAACCGTCTCGCAACCCCAATAAATCAATTTGCCCGGTACAAATCTAATCCTAACTTCAAAACAAACCTCCAGTTTCCGGTGAAGCCATTCCATTCGTCTTTTAAAACGGAATAAAACTGGCATTTATTGAAATCTGCTTTTTTATATCTTCGGATACGAACGTTTCCTTATCATGGGATCTAGAGGGCACAAACTGGAGCATTAGCGTGTATTAAAGGTGTACAAGATAGTGCTTTTTTAATGGCTCAGGAAATAATAAAGGGATCGAAAGTGGCTAGGATGGAAACGATTTGGGATCGGCCACCATCTGGAAGATTCATAAAATATTATGAGAAAAGTAGCTTGTATTACCAGGCCGATCCGATCCGTCAAACGTCATCAAAATTTTATCTTAGAATTAGAATTTGGAATGAAGAGCCTGGAATGACGAATCATGTTTGTATAGCCTCATGTCTAACGCGTTATCTCCAAACGCTACAGGATTAGGGCTATGGAACTTAATGTCATGAATGTGAATTTGGTATGCCCTAGGCGTCTTAGAAATTTAGCGGACATATAATCATTGCTAGAAATAATCCTCAAAGTATTGGATATAATTATATGTATCATTAATCAATATGACTGACATCTGAAAGCAGAGTGCTGATTATGAAAAATCAAGAACCAGAATACTGTTTTATATTTACTTTTCGATAAATTGTCATTTAGTAATTATAGTCTCATTTTACATTTATGGGGATAGTGTAAGAGATAAGGCTAGAATCATATTATATCATATTCTCAATAGGTTTAAAATTTTTAAAATCTAATTGACGTGAAGGTATAAAAATCAAGATGGTGTGGCCTTTTGTGTGGTCGCAGTCTCCTTTCGTTGTATATAATTAGGTTGACCTTGTTTTCGCAACTTGGTCATATTGTTACGGAGACTTAGAGGAACACACCTAGTCTGGAGTCCAGTGTATGCATGATAATATCCAGAGTCGGACCGTGGATGTGGTACATTCCAAGACGTTTCGCCGGCATCGAAGTCGGCTTCGTCAGCGATCATTGCAACTTAGTACCACAATGCAACTCCTCAAAGAGACATGCGAAGCCGTTCCTTTGACCAATTGTCTACTAAACAATTGTGGTATCTTTTCTTCCTCCCAGGGCTAATCACCAATCCTATATCCTCGTATCAACCGTTCACTATAACAATTTACTTTCAATCGATCCCTGCCACCCATCTGTGCTACTCGAGGCGTTATATCCCACACTGCGTCTAGGAGACTAACTTAAGGCTTAAGTACCTTACTAATTTTCATTGTCAAGCCATTGCCTCATGGACCACGTCTATGGTAAATCTGGCCTATGTCAGCCAACTAGCCCTAGTCTCTGCTGCGTCTATCCTTTTCTATCCCTAATACCAAGTCTATGACCTATGCCCTAGTCTCTGATGTGTCAACTCACCAATGTTGGGTACTGCTTGCTTTGATTAAGTTCAATGTTGAGCGACAACATTTATGAGTTGAAACATCAGAGACTAAGGTATAGGACGTCATAGACTTGGTATTAGGGATAGAAACAGGATAGACGCGGCGGAGAAGAGCTAGTTTGCTTAAAGTAGGCCTCTTTTATCATAGCGTGGTCCATGAAGCAAAGACTTGATTATGATAATTACTCAGGGGCTTTAGCCTCAAGTTAGTCTCCCAGACGCTGAGTATGGGAAATAACGCCTCATGGAGCACATATGGGGTGGCTGGGGTCGAGTGAAATACGTGACCCAGAGAGATAGCAGACGGATCCTACGGCGCAGGACAGAGACTGATAAGACCTAGGGAAGGAGGACTGTGTAACAATATGGCAGACTGATCGGCATTCCCAGCTCATGGGTGAAGGGAGGGTGAGAATGCCAGCGTGGAGTGCCGAGGGTTATCATGAAAGCCGCTTAAAAGGGCACACCACACCAGATTTAAATAAGCAAGTTAAATATTCTGATATTGAAGGCGTGTTACGGGAATATATGATAGGTAAATAGCCCAGAAGGAGAGATAGTACAACTGTTTAGTACACATTTGGTCAATGGATCGGCTTCACTTGTCTCTTTGACGAGTTGTGGTGTGGTTCTAAAACTGGCAAGACTTACTGACAATGCCGGCAAAACGTCTGGTAATTTACCACGTTCACGGTCCGACTCTGGATATTGTCATGCATACAATGGACCCCGGGCTAGGTGCGTTTCTCTAAGTCTTCCTACCAATATGACCAAGTTGCGAAAACTAGGTCAAACTACTTCTAATTTACTTGCTTTATATTCATATTGTTTGACAGGTCATCAATGAATAGCTTTACTCATTTTGGTTCTTATGAAGATCCGGCATGTACAGTTACTTTTCATGATTAATCCAACTTTGGATTTTGTGATAATCATGGTAAATCTTCTCTGTCTATGATTTTATTTTAATGTTTATGAAGTGGCTCATTAAAAGTTCAGGTGTCAGGATCCCACTCAGTTTCGAAACCGAAGAGTATACGCAAATCTTTAAAACCTTAAAAAATACAACGAATGGTAAAAAA